TATGTATGTATTTATTTTATAGTAATGTTGTTAGGTGCCATCGAGTTGGTACTGATGCATAGTGACCTTTTGCACAGCAGAACGAAACACTACATAATCTTGGGACAACCTCACTACTGCTGCCACGCATGAGTCCATCGATGCTGCCACTTGGCCAATCCACCTTACCAAACATGATATACTTTTCCAGTGACTGGTCCCTCCTGACAATATGTCCAAATTACCAGAGATGAAGTTTGGCCATCTTGGGCTCTCCGGAGCACTCTGGCTACACTTCTTCCAAAACGGATCTATTGGTTCTTTTGGCAGCCCATGGCACTTTCAATATTCTTCTCCAACACCATAACTGAAAAGCATCAATTCTTCTATGGTTTTCCTTATTCACTGTCCAGCTTTCACATCCATATGAGGTTATTGAAAATACCATGGCTTGGGTCAGGCGCACCTTGGTCCTTAAGTTGACATCTCTGCTCTTCAACACTTTAAAAAGTTCCTGTGCAGCAGCTTTGCCCAATGCAAAGAAAGAAATATAGTCTATGGATAATGGTCATTTTGATTGTTACAAAACACTATCTAGTAAGTGCTACATAGTCACACTATTTCATAGCACATGGGAATAAATGGAAAGTATGCACTCTGTTCTATGATGATTCAAGCAATATTCAGGCTATGGCCAAACCCTTCATACACAACAATAAGAAAGCAATGTGAAATACTGGCACTCCTCTTCTGGTAAGACTCTTATATCACCTCTGTAAAACCTGGGTTAGGGACTGAGAGGAAAATTCATATTTTCCATATTCATCTACCACAAGACCCTAGACTAATTTGTTCTTCAGTGAGTCAAGACACCACGCCTCCATTTCATTCTCTTTGAATTTTTTTCTCTAAAGTCTTACGCAGGATAATTTTGGCATCATCAGCCACTGTGTTGAGGAATTTCAAACGTAGAAAATAGGTTTTCAAAAGCTGAAAGGTAGATGGGAGACCTCCATTAGTTGAACAGCAAGCTTCAAAATATTTCATCACCTTTGCTACTATACTATCATCTTTCGTAAGTAACAAAAAATTTGAGGACTTGATGGAGCTTCTAAGCTTCGACACAGATATGCCCAAATTCTTGGCAGTCTCTTCAATGCATTTATCATCCAGACAAAAATGGCTTCGATAAAGATTCAAGCACTTCTCCTGTTCAGACAAATCAAAGCCAAGGGTAAATGATGGGTGAAGGAAGATAGACAAAACAGATGACGTCAAGGTTTCCAGCCAGAGCTTTGTTTGAAGGAAATTTCTCTTTATCTCAATGGCAGTATCAGACATGCAAGGTATCAGGAGCATAAAGATGTGACGCTTGTGAGCAGGGAGTTCTTTCAACAGTGTCTCCTCCAGTGTTGGAAAATCGAAGTCATCCAAGTCAAAGTTGGAGATCAAGAAGACATGTGTGTCAGACATTCCATTACTGCTAAGATTTGCCAGGCAGTTGTCTTGGATCTGCTGAAGGACTCTCTCTTTATTAAAGGACTTTGGTTTGCTTACCTTTTCATTATATAAATCACTATCCACCTTGGTTCTAACAAAGTAGAATTTTTTACCCATTTTTTTGATTTCCTGGGCCAATTGAACTTCCTTGTAGGTGAAACGAGTGCAGGCAATGATGATAAAGATGTCAAATTTAGCAAATTCCATTTTTTCCACATAAGTTTCTGGAAGGAAATTGGGAGTCCCAGTTCCAGGACAGTCCCAGAAGGTCACTTTGGGGTATTTTGGGTGTTGATAGGGAGTTTTCTCCATAGTAGTTTCCACAACTCCAACAGCGGCTGCCTCCTCATCGTCTTGACTCAGACCTCGTAGGGAATTGATGAAACTGGACTTCCCAGTCCCAGATTCCCCAATCACAGCCACGTCCAGGAATGCATTCTTTGCTTCCGCAAGTGCTTCCTCAATGTTGTCAACTGCATCTTTTAACTCTCCTCCCTTTAGGGCTGATTGAATAGCATTGAGCTTTTCTTGACTGAGAATGCCTCCTGTCTTATTGATTAATGTGGAGTAGCAAGAAAAAAATTGAGAATGTAATTGTTGATATTTTCCCAATAGAAAGTCCGCGATAAACTGATCCATGATAGTTAACTGTGGGAGGTCTGGAAGAATAAAGAGAATATGGAGATAAGATGAATGAAGCAGCAAAATATAAACATAAGGTTAGCATAAGAAATACACTGGTATCAAAGACCCAGTCCCATTATATCACACATATCTGTATTACTATATGAACTCATTTTCCCTGGTGACAAGTTTTTACTGATGTAGAAAAGACTACGTGTTTTCTATAGTGATTATTGCTATATTCCAGGAGTCAGCCTTTCCAACACCATGGCAGATGAATGGCCCCTAACGATTTCCATGTGCCAGTCACCACAAACTGAAAATATGTTACTTAACATAGCTAAAGGGACTTTGCTGATATGATTAAGTTAAGGATCCTGAAATAGGAAGATTATCCTGGTCATCTTATATGTTTAATAAATCAGAAAGAATTTTATGAAAGGTAGGAAAGAAGATGTGTCACAGGAACTCAGCTCCAAGCAGGTTCACTTTGGATTCAGAGAGGCTGAAAAAAATACACGTGGTGTCAAGGAGATTCATATCATTTTATTGTCTCTGAAAGTGGCCAATTTTAAGAGCTTCTCCCAAGGGGAATCCACATCAAGGAGAATCTGTTCTGTGCCCCCACCACTCCCTCCACCCCCCCACCGCCCAGGCAATAGTGTTGACCAGGCTGATATAGGTAACAGAATGAAGAAGGCAAGCTGCCAATTGTTACGTAACTTACTTATGTAAGTGGATTACATGATGCAGGTGGTTCCCGAGGCAGATGGGGTACAGCTGTACACAAGATCACTTACAAGGCCATTTGCATGAAGAGGCTGTTAGGAGGCTAGTACAAAACTATGAAGAGGTGATGTTCTAATACTTCAGGCATGACTCCAAGAGCACACATACATACTTCCATGACAGAAGATTACAGGCTGAAGGAAGATGATGGAAGCATAAGTTGGTGTGATATATTTGAAGATGGAGAAAGAGGTCAAAGCCAAAACGTGCGTATGGCCTCAAGAAACTAGAAGACAAGAGACTGGTTTGTCCATTAACCTTTCCAGAAGGATCCAGTCCTATTAACATTTGATTTAAATCATTAAGACTCATTCAGGTCTTTTTACTTCCTGAACTAAAAAAACAGTTTAAGTCACTAAACTAGTGACCATTTGTTATTGCAGCTATTCTTAACTTTTAACTATTAATATTTATTTCATTTTAAGCCACTAAGTTTATGATCATTTGTTATAGCAGCAACTGTTAATGTAGACCTATGGGCAGGGAAAATGAAGTTTGTGCTCACTACTGTAGTGATCTGATGGATTCTTTTTTTTTAATGTTTTATTGTGAATTATGTGATAGTTTACAGGGATAACATTAGCTTTACATTCATGCTATTGTATATCGTTTCATTGCTATGGTTACAATCCCCTCCATGCATTATCAACCAACCAAAGGGTATACACTACAAACCTGCCCCCTGGTCATCAGCACACAGCCCCTCTCCCTCTCTGTGTCTAAAGTCCCCAACAGCTCCATCACTCCACGTCATCGTCTCTGCCTCCATCTCAGGCATCACTGCTTCTCTGGGTAGGGTCCCGCACTCTGCTCTTCTCCCTTGATGGTCCCAGGGACCTCTGCCTCTAGGCTGAAAAAGTTAATCACGTCCCTCCTTGCTAAAAACCCTCACAAGCAGTCCTGATAACAATTATTCACTATTGTATCACAAGGGACCCATCTGCATTTCATTTCTTCAGGCCCACCTAGACAGATTGTATACTACTCAGTGGAGATTCTACCTTCCTCCACGCCCTCTAGATCTAGGTTCCCTCTTGAAAGCTTGTAAGCCAGTCACTTCTTATCTTTGTAGCCCCCACCCCCCCCACCCTTTGGGTAGTCAATGTCCAGGTTGCCCATCCCTGTCTATTCTGTGTATGGAGGGGGTGAGAATGATCTTTGCTGTAAAGATTTGTTCCCTCTTTTGAGCTACTGCATCCATAGGTGTAGGTCAAGTTCATCAAATTGTATCAGATTACTCTTTTTTCCCTCTTCTTTCTTCTTCTGGTTGAGCTCTGATCATCCAGTCATTGAAGCCAAGTCAAGTGGGTATTATCTTCAAGTGTGGGTGTTCTTGTGCATATGCCCTCTCTTCTTATCAGCTGAACACTTCACTCTCTAGTCCTCTGTGGATATGTCACTGACTCTGGGCTCAAGAGTCCCTAGGTCTTGCCACACTGCTGGTCAACCAGGTCTTTACCCGGGTTTACAGAAGTCTATTGAACATTGTAGGGCTTAGCTTGCCGCTTCATTGCTGTTTTTCCCTCACTTCCCCTTATCGGTGACAAGCGTGGTCACCAATCAGAGTGTGTATTCCCATTGAGTCTTAGTCTTGGAAGGGGGTTTGCACTGAGAGGACCCGACCACTTGCCTTGATGTCTCCTGGGCAAGCGACTTGCTTGTTCTATAGTAACAGTCGGTCTGCCTCTATTGTTTTGCATTTTTCCTGTAGGCCTTTCTTTCAAGAAGTATCTTCTGTTCTTCTAGCCACTCCAGGCTGGTCTGCTCGTCCTTTCAAGTGGATATTTCCCATCTCTGAAGATCTGGATGTGGTTCAGGTTTCCACCTATAGTCTTATGTATTGCAGAGGCTCTGCAGGAAGCCTCCTTCACTGGGCATGTTGTAGCCCCATTTTAGGTATTCCAATCAGTTATAGGCAGAAGACGGACTTACAAGCTTCCTATGGTGATGTTTCTGGCTATTCCTTTCTCTCCCCCTCCAGTGTCTATTTTATAATATAATGCAAGGAAAACCAAGATTCAAAAGACAGCCAAGCATCTTAACATTATTCCCCACTTTTCCCCATTCCAACCATGTCACAATCTCTGTATCCCAGAGCCCTGTTGTTCCAAGGTTGTACATACATCATTATTTACCTCTGTCCCATTTAGCCCATTCAAACCTGCCTAATTGTTCTCCCATCTGCTTTGTTCTTTCATTCCCCTCTCTCTTCTTGTATATTGCCCCCTTCCCCAGCACCCAAACTACCCTGTGTCTATTCCCTGCCCTGTGCTCCACCTTCCCCTCCCTCCCCTTACCCCACTCCCACATCCCAGCAACCAGCAAAGAATCCACTCCCCCTCCTTTAGTATGGGCTCTTTTTCTTCTTTCACAGTAGTGGTCTTACGCAGTAGTTCTCCTTTTGTGACTGACAAATTTCACTCAACATGATATACTTAAGGTTCATCCATGTTAGGTGGGGGCTTGCAGCTTCCTTGTTATTTTTCAAGGTAGCATAATATTCCATTGTGTGTATGTACCACAGTTTGTTTATCCATTCTTCAGTTGACGGACACTGGCTGTCTCCATCTTTTTGCTATTGTAAATAGTGCTGCTATGAACATTGGTGTGCATATAT